ACTGAGGGCATTAAAAGTAAATTGAGATCTAAATGATCTGAGTTATATTTGCCCTCTCAGAAAGCCTTCAGTATCACTTGTAATTACCATTGATTTGTGTATCTAATATCTTTTACTTGTTTTCCCTTGGCTACTCATCACTTCATTACCTCAGACATACAACACTAGTAATCTTCTGTTTTCTTCAACCAAAGGGTGTCAAAGCATAAGGTGATGCCTAACATGACATTAAAGAGGGGAGACTGACAACACTAAACCTGACTAAAAGAGATCTATGGTCATAGACTTGGACTGGAAATAAAATTTCACAAAGAAAGGATAAACATAACACTTTTTGGTATTATTTATGCCTTCAGTATTTTTACTTAAAGGATAATAGTCATCTAATGTATTGCTACCAAGTTTGTTACACATTAAAGATTGCTTGGAGGGAAACATTCAAAACCACATCTAGCTAACTTATCTTCTTTTGCATATGCTCAGCCCATCATGATATTCACATTTCCCTAGAAGATTTCATTTCCTTTTTCAGTAAGTAGCACAGTACACATCCAAAATACACAGCAATACTATCATGTCCATTCAAAATGATGTGGCAGACAGCATCTCTTGCTTAACTTGCCACTGCCTCCACAAGCATTTCCTGCTGGTTCCCCTTCTACCTCTGCAGCAAGTTACAGAGCTGTTTTCTCTTTGTAGACTGCCTCAGCCCAGTTGGGCCACAGTGATGTAAGGGCCTATTCATACCACCTACCATAGGTCACTAAGTTAGGAGTTGGTCTCTCTAGACTCATTATGCAAGCACTGCAGAGAGAACCTCCTGAGTTGGTGATTCAGAAGCATGCAAATGGGCTCTATTTCTGAATAATTTCTCTAGAAGAGCTGTCCTTCTGTCTGTCAAGTCCACGTGGTTCACTGAGGAGGACACCTAGGTAGATCTGTGCCTGGACAAGCACCTAGACTAGGTTTTGAAGTTAGGCAGTGTAAATATGCACTACATACTCCTTCCACAGGTCCTCCAAATGTTCAGCGCTGTTTATTCTTCTATGCTGTGCCATGTACCTAGGGTTATACATGATTTCTAAACTCCAGCAGTATCATTGAAAGATCCCTCCTTGAAGGCCATTGTTCATTTTGATGCTTACAAAACTTCTGACATGCTGTGACTGCTGTGTATTTCCCTGCTTATACCTGCTTCATGGTTATCTGTCTCACTGGTAGAAACACATACACTTCGTATCTTAAACATATCTTAAACTTAGATTTTGAAGGAAGGGATCACATCCTTCATACACACTGGGAACTTAGCCTTTAAGTGCAACAACACCAGCGTGCAAATAATAATATAATTTTACTGAAATTAATATTTTTTCTGCCCCCATGTTCACGTGCAGCATCTCTTGCCAAAACATTTTGCAATCTCATAATGCCAGATTTAGGGGTCATTCACCAAAGCATGCTATCATCTCCTCAAGTTATTTGATTATTAGTATATCTAAACTTTCTCAAGCTCAGCATTTTTAAATAAAACATATAGATTCCATTTTTTTTCTTCCTTAGAGTCTAGCATTAAGAGGGTAAGTCAGGATAGCTGACACTGTTATTAAGGAATACTTAAACAGCGTATTCTCCACTCGTATGACATACAGAACCCAATATCAAGGTACCGATGCGATCATGGGTACTCTTTCACTAAGCTGCCGGGAGCAGTTTGGGAGTGTGAGAGCTGAGTATTGGTTAAAGGTGTCATTCTCCATTAGCCAAACATTGATCACATGATGGAAGGTATACAGAAGGCTAGCTGAGAAAATGCATTAAATCTGACAGTTTTCTCAAAAAAAAAAGTAACATCTTCCCTCACTTTTATCTTCTTAATTAGAGAAGAGGAATATAAGCCTGATGTGAGCACAAGGCTGGTGGTCATTCTTATCCAGTTCTGAAGGGAAGTTAACACAGTGCACAATTATGTTGTCAACACTTACATGCAATGATATTCCCATATCTATTTTTCATTCTGTTCTCATCTTTCTTAGCTGAATCCCACGGTGCAGACTGTCCTTCAAAGAAACTCTAAAAAAGGAAAGAAAGTGACATTAAGAAAAGGATGCACCAAGTTACCTTTCGGATAAGCCAAGGAGAAAGGCAAACAGTACTTGGGGATATTGTTGTTAAAGTGCCATTTAACTGATTCTTTTATTGAGCAAAAATTAGTCTCCTGTTTAAATGGTATTTAGGTATAGCCCCAGATGTTAGCTAAAATGACATGATACTATCTCTGCAATAGTAAGGAGAATTATTTGCATGTGAAGTGCTATTAAACCTGTCCAAAGTTGCATGCTTGCAACAGTAAGAGTCCTTCATTTGTGCTATCCAGATTCTCCGGATAGTTCTCACACACACGCATGAAGCTGAAGGAGCTTAATCATCAGTGTTGGAGTTGCTCCAGTATTTGAGTGCAGGATTACACACTGTACTAACACATTTTATTTTTGACATATCCACAAGTTTCACTTACTTCTTGGCAGATGACCTCATGGATCTAAACATATATAGGCACTCAAAAAAATTTGGATTCAACTAGCATGTATGTGCTTTTTTTTTAAACACAATATATGATCCCCCAAGATGATTATTTTGTCAGAGAATAAAAATAATGTGATTTTGTGAAAGATATAATCTAATATTCACCCAATCTCTGTGCCACAGATAATAAATATAATGTAAATAAAAAAGTCGAAGGTGCTAAAAATGTATTTTTGCATTAATAAAACACACAAGGCTGCCAAAAGGGCAGCAAGCAAGTTTTTATGTCCAATCTGTCCTGTGCATTCTGTGGTCTAAAAGAGCATTTGCACAATTTCTTAATTTACGCACTGTACCTGTAAGACATATAATGTAGATATATTTTATAATTTCATATTGAAATATTAATCTTGTATTAAAAATATTTAGTTGCCAAACAAACCAGTGGAATTCTATCACGACGATGGCCAGTCTTACCTCATGTTTCGATCTTTTTACTGGAATGATCAATAGATTAGATCTTTTGATTCAAGAGGGACATGAAGGTAACAGAAGCCAAAAACAGCTAAGTCCCAAACTAAACAGGGAAAACCTCAGGAAGTTCAGATCCCTCGAAAGACCTCAACACATTCTGAGTGGTTTAATATAGATACTGCCCATTGAATGGACTATCATTGGCGTTCTTTGCACTCATACTTGAAATATATTGTTGTTCAAATGCCAATTATTTCAATTAGTAAAGAGCATAAAAGTCAAAATAAACCCTCGATCTCTTGCTGAAGTCAATGGAACATAGGGGCATTCAGTGTCTAAAATGAGTTTTCTTCTAATAAGTTCACTGGAATGCTGGTTTCCAACTTATGATATGGAAACTCCTGGGAATACATGGATTTTTCTTAAAAGTTTGTAAATAATAACTTAAGAAAAACAGAAGCCTTGTCAAAAGGCTTCAATTTGTTTGTCATTCACCCCTCCATACTTCCTTAGCAAATTTTGAAAGGTTTCCAAATTGACATGATTAAAACAGACTAATATAGGTAAGTTTCTCCTTAATTATGGCATACCATCATTGGGTACAGCTCTGATAAAGGCAGATTTCTGCCAGGATAGAAAAGTGGAACCCTGTAAATCCTAAAATGATTTACGGCTTTGTAGCAGTTTGCCAAAAAGGCGCCAACCACTATCTGATTATATATCTGCCAACGGCATCTAAAGCAAGCAAGCCCCCCTCCCTAGCTCCCCACCGCCCCCCCCTTCCCCGACCACTCTCAATTCAGGCTGGGTGGAAAATATTCCTGTAATAAGCCAGACTGAACTGCATAAGGCATTGTCTCCATGGGTAAAGACCTACGTCTCAATTTTTGGCAAAGTTCACACTTACTGTCAGACAACACTGGATGATGAGCAATTAAACATAGTTAAAGGCAAAATAGAGATGGGAATGTTCAGCAGCCAAGCTCCAAAGGCAGAAAAACGAATCATTCACCCAGTCTAAAACTTGACGTGGTATCTTCCTCAGGATTTTGCATTTCAGGCAGCTAGATAGACTACAGAGAATTCTAGTTTTCTTACAGTCCATCTGCTAGAGACTAGTTCACGGAACTGATCCATAAGACATTACCCAGCAAGTGGTTTTGGGTTTAATTCACTAAGTGTTACATGTGCCGTTACAGAGAAAGAGTCCTGCTGATACAGCTTCCAAGCGTACACCTTGAAATATGGAGGACCCAAATATACTCCTAGGGACTTCTTGCTTCTCCCTGTCCCACTAATGAACTTTTACAAAATTGCTTTAAACCAATCGATTAAAGTAAATCTCTGGAGACAACTGGGAAAGATTTGCAAGGTATTGAATTCAGGGAAGATGTACAATAGGCAACGTACAGGCTTGGGCAGCTTGTCTGCTTCTCATCTGCTAATGTACGGTTTCAATTTCTCCCACCTGTTTGGAACTTCTGAAAACAATGATAAGCTTAATGAGCCTTAGAGATAAAATATCTCCTAATAATAGATCTGCGACATAGATAATTCTATTCTTCAGAATACTTATATATCAAACCTCACACAATAACAAAAACCAGGAGACAGATATATGTTTCCAGCTACTGCATATTGACTTCACTTTCTTTATTAAAAATGTATTAAAGAAAAAGAACTCCATATATATGTTTTTCTTTGGGTTTTTATCAATAAATTAGTGAATGAAATAAAACCTATCACATAGGGAAAATAGATGTAATTTATGTAGATCCATTTTTCTTTTTAATTCCTTTTGGGATACACACAGGTATTTCAGTGAGAAGTGTACAGAAAAGATAATTTGAAGGAAGAGGTATTACAGTGCAAAAGCATAAAAAGAAACAGTTATTGTAAAAGACAGCTGGAGTGTCATTTCCTAAATTCCCCATGTGCTGCCATTACACAAACCGCAACAGAACGATAATCCACAATGAATTATAAGGAGAAATCCCATTTGTCCCACAAGTGAGGAACAGAGCAGATACCTCATAACAGATGATCTGTCAAGATCTTTCCTTACTTGTTAGAAATACACGTTTCATTACTGAAATTTTTTAATGTCTTTCCTGACTTATCCCTCTCCAGGGAAACTGCTGTGTAGCAGCCCACACATTATCTTAGTGGCTATTCATTCTAATTTATCCTTAAAAGTTTCTTAAAAATGTGGACTATAGGAAGAAATAAGCCCCCAAACAGCTTCATCCCACCAAATGTGGGATGCAGGGCAATAGAGAACCAGGAATGGTGTAGGATATTTCTCACATAATTTAAAATAAGTATTTCTTTAACTCAAATCACACAAAACCTTGGCAACCCAGCCTTCATGATCTAGTTGAAAAATGAAACACTTTTCAAGCCAGCTGTTTCTACAGCCGACATTTCAGTATGCAATGTCAACTGTCACTCTGTTATTAGAAAATATTTCAATAATCAGGATAAAACAGTTTCTGAAATAAACTGAATTATACAGAACTGCTGTATATGCAACATGAGAACTGATGTTGGATGTGATGCAGGAGTGGGATCATCTTAGGATGAATGTGAAGCTTTTGCTTGCTTTAACTCAATGCTGCAGTGGTTTCCCAAAAAAATTAAATATTTGCCAAGGGCTAATTCACTGTGACCCTCAGACTAGAAAATAACTGCAATATCTCAAATGAGAGGGGGAGATAATCATTGCAAATACAGATTTTTTAAATTATTCCCTTTCCTCACTTAAAATTCATAGGACCAGAAAATATTGGAAGGGACCTACATAAAAGTACAGTTTGAAAAGGCTGGAATGTGGCAAATAGGGTGAGATCTTCAGGATTTGTAGCTCTGTTGATTGTAATTTTTGGAAATGTACTTTCCATCCTAGGTTTTCATGCTTCCAGTTAAGGATAGTAAAAATAATGCATCTTTGTAAGAACTTTAAGATCTACAAATGTAAAGTGTTGAATGGAATTACTATTTTTATTATTAATCCAAAGCCAAGCAGCAACTTTTTCAAAAAATACTTCATAGTTGCTAGGTGACAACAGTACAGTCTCCTACGATGTCATTTACAAAATGCAAGCTCTTACAAGCAATGAAATGAGAAGTTAAAGACATCATAAATCTTGCTCTGCCTACAGAATAAGCAAGAATAATATTCACAGGTATGAAGAAATGCATATTTCACTGTGTAACAATCTGAAGTTTGATCTGTGGATTTGTCTTCAAATGTATGACTCTCTATGATGTCTGATTTTCCTGATTGACCCTAAGTTTCTCCACTGATAACATCAATTTTTCCATTGCTATTTCTAGATAACCAGATTAAGATGTACTACAGCGAAATGAGTAATTTGACCTATTCAGTTATAAAAGCCACTGGATTTGTTTTTAAGCTACATGCAGGGAGTTACGCACACGGTCTACTTTAGGCCAGACCAGACAACTAACGGTAGTCCTAATGGAGGTCCTTGTCTAAACTCAATTAGCTATGGAAGAAAATTACCTTTTTACCATAGGTCCTTTGAGTTGCAGCTAAATTAGATGCCTAATATGCTCTGAATTGAAGATAATTGATAATGAAGATACATTGCTAGTTTTACCTAAATATATCACCCTTTGCTAGTGCTGTGTCCACTTTATATGTGGAGATTAAAGATGGAAAAAAATGCATCCATTAAGCTCTGAGTTAAGATCCTAGTGTTGCATTAGAGTCTTCTTTGTATGTACAAACCCTAGCAAATAGACATTTCATTTTACGCAAGTCCGTAAATGTTTAGAGGATGAGAATCTTCAAGCTCATTTAATGACCAGTGCAAGATTTATGAGTACAATAAATCTGTTAGTTCATTGGTTTTTCAGTAATCAGAATCTGCAAAATATCTGGCACATGAGGATGTTCTTGTTACTTAACAAGATCAACTTTTTTTTTTTTAAAAATAAAATTGTAATAATCACATTCAGTTTGTTAATAACTGAGTATTTAGATTGTTACGGAATTAAGAAGGAAGAGCCATTGACAGTTATGTTACAGGAATCTGCAGAGAGGTCCA